TCGAGTCATGTAAGACAATTACGAGACTTTTTGGGACCTGGAACCTCGTCTGGTCCAACTTCACCACATCAGGTTCTGCTGATGTTAGAGCCTCAGCAGTTGGTGAAATGTGACCAGAGACTGGATTCTAGTAGAACCATGGATCCATCCATAGATAGACACTGACAGGAACATTTTACGCTTTTTTTTTTTCCATTTTCAGAGACCAATAATTGAATATTTGTCCTCTGTTGGATCCATTCAATCATCCTGATCTGATATAAACTCTTCTGTCTGAGTCCTCACCACATCTGGAGATATTGAACCATGAAAACAGCTTCACAGGTTGTTGTTTTTTTTTTTTTTAGGATGAAAATACAAAAACCCACCACTCTGAAAACATATGAAACTCCTAAAAAATCATCCAAAATGTTTGACAGAACTTAGTTTTGGGTCACAAATAAGAAACTCTGGACAGAATCTGAGACTTACTTCAACAGGTTTCCTTCTAGTTCAGGTTTGGTGGGTTTTCTCTGCTCTTGTCCAGACTGGTTCTCTTTGTAAACAGCATGAAGTTCTGAGCCTGTGTGCAAACAGACAAGCTCAGGAACATTCACGCTTCGCCGAGCGATTCGTAAACAAGGCTGAAGATTGACTGAACCTCGCTGGTAAATCTGAATCAGCTGACTGCTAAAAGGCATCACGACCAGTTTTCTATTCCCAGAAACGTGTCTCACTTTGACCTCCGCTGCAGCTTAATTGATTTCTTTTGTCGACTTCTGAGTTCCGTGTGAATTTGTCTTATTGTGGCGACTGATCTCGTTCAGAACCACAACGGTTGATGTTTGTTTGGTGTGTTGAGGAGAATCCGCTCACGTACAGTCGCGAAAACCAATACAAGCGTCACAGTGATGAATAACATATTAGAGTTTTAGCGCTGAGCTGCTGATTCCACAGATCACTCATTCTCATGTAGAGATGTTTGCGTGGTTGGTAGTTTTGTCCAACTTTCATCAGTGAGACAGATCAGTTTTTAGCCACATTAGCAGTGTGACGCTAACACTGACTGGCCAGTCCAACTCTTCATTAGATAAAGTACGATATTTCAGTCTGAATATCTGATGAATCTTAATCTTTTTGCTCATTTCTGGTCTCCACCAGCTTCCAGGAAAAGTCTCCTCAGGTAGTTGCTGTTATAGTCCTTTTTGAAGCTGGTCAAGTAGCATTATTTTAGCTTAAATGCTATAAATATCTGCATCTTGCTGTTGGAAATGAGATTGTTGAGACTAAACCAAACCAATAAACTGAAAAAAATGCCGTTTCATTGAGCCCAAAGCTTTTTTTTTGTTTTTTGCCAATAGAGACATTAGAATAATATAAATATAAAGGTTGCTTTCTTTTAGACTTTGGCTCATTTGCTGTTGCGTCATTCCAACGCTGGTGTCTAAATTATAACTAAATAAAGTACAGAATGTACGACTCTTAATCTATTCCTCTGTTTTTAGCATTTTATCAAGTTAAATTGCACACAGGCTAGGTATGCTAACATGCTAAATATTAGCATTTTGTCAAGTTAAATTGCACAAAGGCTAGGTATGGTAACATGCTAAATATAAGTATTTTGTCAAGTTAAATTGCACAAAGGCTAGGTATGGTAACATGCTAAATATAAGTATTTTATCAAGCTAAATTGCATAAAGGCCAGGTATGGTAACATGCTAAATATAAGCATTTTATTAAGCTAAATTCATGCAAAACTCTCAATTCCTGAGTGATGTTTTGGAGTTGACCGGGTTTAATCTTTTAATCTAAATGTACAAATCTAGAAAACAAAAATACATGTAGCACCAGACTTTCACTGTTTAAACTATTGACCGACATCACGTATAGGCTAGGTATGCTAACATGCTAAATATTAGCATATAATCAAGCTAAATTCATGTAAAACTCTCAGTTTACCATTAATCCTTTGATGTTTCTCTGGTTTTTTAGGGTTCAATCCTGTGTAGTACCAAATTTTCACTGTTTATTTACAGATTTTTTTTTGTCACCAGTAAAAGACGTGCACACAAACATAAAAACAAAAATCTACTGCTTCCTTTCTGTTCTGTTGGTAATTTGGAGTCAGGACGAAACGTTTAATTTCCTTTTCCGCTCCAGTGACTTCGACTCTCTGAACGAGGAGGACGTGGCGGGAAACAACCAGCTGGCGTTCGACGTGGCCGAGCGAGAGTTCGGCATCCAGCCGGTGACGACGGGGAAGGAGATGGCCGCCGAGGCCGAGCCGGACAAGCTGCTGATGGTTCTGTACCTGTCCAAGTTCTACGAGGCGTTCAGGAACTCACCGGCCAACAACAACGGTCAGAGTCCAGTTCATTACACATTTGTCCTGAAAAAAAGGAAAACATGACACAAATGATCAGTTCATGGACTGTCAGGAAGTTAAAAATCCACATTTTTTTTCTGCTTTTACATTTTCTGGCTTTGCTAAATGATGTAATTTAGATTTTTATGTTTTATTTCTTAATGAAGAAAACATGCCGCACATGATTAGTTCAAGCACTTTGGAAAAGTTGGAAATCAGAGGTTTGTTTTAGTTTTTACAGCATTTAGCTCCAATAAATGGGGCAATTTTGGTGATTTTTTTTTAAAAGACAACATGTCTGAACCCCAAAACCTGCAGGTTTTGGGGTTCAAAGGGTGAAAACGTTTAATCTAATTGAACTAAACTGGACTTTAAAAAGAGCAGCACAACATTACAAACTGTAGAATCCAGAGAGCAAACACCTCCCTGAGCTCCAACCCCAGTCTGACTGAAGGAAGCGATTATTTTTAAAGTCACTCCAGCGTTTGAACGGATCCGGTCGTGCAGAACTTCCCTCTAACCGCCAAAAAAATGCAGTGAACCAAAGAAAGCTGTGAAAACAGAACCTCCGCTGCCTTCTTCTCCAGACTCAGAGCCGGGCTTTGGCTTCGTGGACTCTGCGTCTTGCTGCTGCTGCTCTGTTCTCGTTGTGTTAAATTACAGCCTCGGCCGAACCCACGACACGAGCTGCAGTTACGCAACTGTGGTCGAGTCCCTCGCTGCCAGAGACCTGACTGGTATGCGCGCTATGTCTGAGGAAGGAAAATCCAGCTCTGGCCACACCGCCGGCCTCGGGAAACGTTCCCCCGACGTTGTTTTAAGGTTGCCGTGCTGCAGAACTCTCCGTCACCCGAACTGGTGTCAGCACGAAGCAGGACTCACCTCTGGAAGGCTGCAAGATCGCGTTCAGAGGGCGGTTTGGAGGGAATCTGCTGCACGGTTTGGTTCAAGTCAGGCAGGAACTCCAGCCTTTGTGCTTCCAGAACAGTTTGGATTCTATTTAGTAAAGCTGCATTCGAAATAAATCCTTATTTTTAACCACCTGACTGTTGGTCGCACCTGAGTCAGTCGTGGCTCCTCGGTTGCGGCAGGGAGCGCAGAATTTTTTTATTTTTGTAAAATCTGACTAAAGTTAAAGCTTTCTTTTTGACAGTTTTTAAAAAAAATTGACTTAACCACCAAAAAATAGTCTTTATTTTATAGGACGCCTGCAAACCTGCTGCTCATCTTCAGGAATTTAATGGAAACTAAACCAAATTTATGCAAATTTTAAAAAGCCAGAAATAAGCCAGAGTGATTGTAGCGAACGCCACTAAAACATTCACAATTAAATATAAATTAAAATAGAATCAAACATTCTGGTTTTTAGACTAAGTTTGGTTCATTTCCAAATGAACCAAACGCTGTCAGGAAATGTACAATTAGCTCAAAACTAGCGAATTTTAAGGTTCGAAGGATTAAAATCTCGGATTTAAACGTCAGCTGGTTTGAATCTGCTCGTTTCAGCTGCTCTCCTGCACAGTTTCGTTAAACGTAGGCAGTAAAATGAGCCTTTGTGCTTCTTTGACAGCCTCAGATTGTGTTTCGTTAAGTTTGTGTTTTTATTAATCCAAAGATAAACTTGTGAATGACTCGCGACGCAAACTCGACTAAATTTTTGCTGTTTGCGGCTTCTTTTGAAGGTTAAAGCCTCTTTTCTCTCGTTTTTAATGTCATCATTGCATTTTTTTTTCAAATTATCCTGAAGCTGAAGCTCAAGATGAGATAAATACTGAATAATCCCACATCAGGGGACATTTGCAGCAGCAGGAGATGTTAAAAATAAACAGAAAATGTACACAAATGCAGATTATTTCATACGTAGATATTCAGACGTTGCTCAGATTCTTTTGTAAGTAGAAAAATACTGACATCAGAAACACTGACATTGCAGAGTTTTGTTTATTTATTGATCAAATTAATTTCTAAAATGGATTTTTTGGGCTTTCAGGTGACTTTACTGGTTGATTTATGCTCAAACTGCAGGTGAAAACCAAGAAAACTGATTAAAATGGTCAAAATCATAATAAAAAAATGCTCAATTTCAGTTTTAGGGAGTGTAAGAGCAGCTGGAGATCCGGTCAGAGCTGCAGATTTTAATGTTTATTAATATTTATGCACGGAAGGACGAAACACTGCTGGATGAAAAAATAAATTCACCTTTAAACAGGAGTTTTACTGATTTCCAGCTTGTTGTTAAATGACATTTAACTTGCCTTTGTTGTGACTGTGTTTGTTTACCCTGAACGTTTGTTTGTTTGTTTGTTTGTTTGTTTGTGTTGCAGTTTCAGGAGAAGCCGATGAAAACGGCGACGAGCACAAAACCAACCACAAGGTGCAGAACCTGCCTCAGCAGAGGAAGAGGATCCCCAGGGTGACGCTTGTTTCTGTTTCACTCATTTAATCTGAACGAGTCGAACCAAACCTTCGTTAGATGAACTTCTGGTTTGTAATCTGAGTGTCAGCGCGATTATCTCACAACATCCACGACCTCGTTAGTGCAAAAATATGAACGTCAGAATGTGCAAAACTCAGATTTTTAGTTGATTTATACTTTAAAATAGTTTTTAGTGCAATTTTATAGATTTTTACGCTTTAAATTTGAATCATTTTATCTTGTTAGCAGTCGTATTCACCTTTATGCTGCCATTTTGTGAGTTTTTGTCCTTTTTTAATGTCTAAACTTTTCAATTTTTAGCACTTTGATGCAGTAATTTAGTTTGCTAGACAGATAATTAAGCATATCTTGATCCTGATTGTTAATTTTTTACCATATTTGTTTGTTAGCAACAACCTGAGCCGCACAAATGACCCGACAGAACCGTTCACTGAGAATCACGACAACACGAGTAAAATCTAATGTGTAACTAAATGAAATGCTAAAACAGAACGACGACTTGTAAGATCAACCTCTGAACAATAAATATGACCTTTTAACGCCTTTAAGAGCAGCCGGTGAGAACGTCTACGTCTTGAGTTCTCTCTTGGAGGAACATTTCAGTGAAGCTTGTTGTCGTTCAGTTTATACCAGAATAAAGAACATTCTGCAGTAAAATGTAAGTTAAACCTTTGATAAATAGATAAATAACACGTGATTAATGCATCAGTAACCAAATGCAAAAGAAAGAGGAGGTAACCGGATGTATGAACCCAGATACAACATCTTACGTGACGTCTGCTTTTGCAGGACGACAAGAAACTGGAAGAAGATTCTGTCAACAAGAGACGACGGAAAGGCAACAACTACCTCACAGAGGTGAGTCTGTGGAGGAGGAACGTGACGTCTGCAGGACTTCAGCTTCATCTCAAATCGTCAGAGTTTCTTCTGCACAAACATATTGAATTGGGCTGACATCTTGACAGCATAAAATATGGATATTTATAAAGATATATGTGGAATTTTAGCTTCATACCACTTTCTGCATAACAACATTTTTTAAACTTGCCTTTTAAAGCTGCAGATATTTTACTGTACCGTAAATACCGGACTATAGAGGCACCTGAATATAAGCCGCACTCGTCTCTAAGCTGCAGGTGTCCACGTTGGAACATGAGAGATTTACACAAGAAGGTTTTTTCTTATCGGTAAACAAATACGTAGAGGCTTTTTTCTGAACAGTTCCTGTAACACGGCTGGTTCAGGAAATAAATACTTACTTTCGAGTTGTTTCCAACAATCCCCGGCTTCTGCCCACGTCTTGTGGTTGTGCACTTCACAGTATCACTTCCGGGTTAAGAAAAACAACTTCCCCTGCAGCTGTTGTGTTGTGGCTTTTGTTTTGTTGTGACACTTCTGGGCCACCGTAATAAGCCGCAGGTGTCCACGTAATTAAATACGTACCGCTAACATACACAAATGCTTTTTTCTGAACAGTTCCTGTAACACGGCTGGTTAAGGAAATAAAACTCCAGCAGCTACCAGGAAAAGTCCCTGATGGCTATCTTCATCTTCCTCCTGCACTTAAACCACTAAAGTCGTCTTCTTCAGCCTCAGAATCACTTCGTCACTTCCTCAGTCTCTCTGTCGTCGTCGCTCTCAGCGTCACTTTGGTCTCGCGGCAGATTCGTAAAAATCCATAAATTAGCCGCATCGTTGTTCAAAGCGTTTGGAAAAAGTAGCGGCTCATAGTCCGGGAATTACAGTAAACAATTTTAAGATAATTACAAGAATTAATAAAACCACCCATGTTAGGGGACTTCTGCTCAACGATACCTCCGTTGCTTGAACTTTTAAAAAAAATCTTTTTATCATAAATATTTAAAGTAGTATGTGTAAAATTTGACATCGATTCATCAAATGCTTTTTTTTCGCACATTGAAAGGGATCAGTACACTTTCAACGAGGTCCTTTCACCTCAAATCCACAAGTTCTTTCTGCTCAACCGTCTCTGACTCGACTGGAACTTTAACAGCATAAAATCTGGATGTTTTAAAGATAATTGTGAATCTCTAGCGTCATATATCGAATATCTTCTGAGATAATTCTTTTGGGGAAAAAAGTCCCGTCAGCTCGCTTTCAGCAGGTTTTTTTTTTTTTTTTTTAAATTTGAACGACAACATCTCAGGACCTTATAAAGATAAAAATTTTCACTGTTGTTTCTCATCGTGTCGCTGATTCAGAGTCTTTAATGTCAGACCAATCATCTCTGATTGTCGTGAAAACTTCCATCTTTCAGCACAAATTTACTAAAAAACCTGATAAAGCAGAAGTGAACCAGTGATATAATCTGAACCACATGTAGCTGCAGGTCACAACAACACAAAACCAAACATGTAGAGTAGTTTAAATGTGAAATATTGGATCACAAACATGAAAAGAAAAGTGATTTTGGTTGAACTTTCATAACCGATGGAGCAGGTTGTGGCACAAAATCTCTGAGAGTTCTTCTTGATGTTCGCACATGTTCACAGTTTGGATTAAATAATGCTTTAAGAGATTCTGAATCAATGAGATGATCAGAAATAACAGAGAAAATGTCAAGTTTTTATCTGGAATAGTTCCTCAGCCTCAAACCTCAATGTGAGAAAAAACAACAACAACCTGCTGAAAGTGGGTCGCCCGGCAGAAATTACCTCAAAAAAACGCCCAGAAGTCGGTTCTGTTTAACTCTCTTGTAATGTGGTTAATCCCTCCTTCCGTCCTGCCCAGTTGTCCTGCCACAGTGCGCCCCCTGCTGGCGAGGACGGGGAGCTGCGGGAGAACAAGGTCCGCTCCATGGCGACTCAGCTGCTGGCCAAGTTCGAGGAGAATTCGTCGACGGGAAAGACGCGCAGCAAGGTGAGGAACCAGAAGGACTTCCTGCAGGGTGTTTTTAATCCGACCTCCTTCGTTCTAACCGATTCTTTGAGCCTCTGACGGTCGTCCTCCAGGTTTCTGTGTCGCTGCTTCTCCCTCGGTTTACCGGTTGAGTTATAAATCAAACAAATCAAACATCTGACTGGAAGCCTTGAGCCGCTGACGTTTAGTCTAATGACCCGTCTGAACGCTGGTGTTGCTCAGGTTCCTTCACTGAGGTTCATGTTTCTGTGCAACATCAAGTCCTGCAGCTCTGAGGAACCAGAACAACATGAAGGAGGAGAGAGACAGAACGACACAGATCAGGAGAACCACAGTTTAAAAACCTGGAGTCCACATGTACAATATCTTATCCATTGTTCCAGCGCTTGAGACAAATGGAGGCTCTGTATACCGTAGATATCTACTCTACAAACTGTTCTCCCTGCTTTGAAAGTTTCACCATGCTGACTGGATCTTCCTTTCCTTTCCTTTCCTTTCCTTTCCTTTCCTTTCCTTTCCTTTCCTTTCCTTTCCTTTCCTTTCCTTCTTATTCTTTCCTTTTCAACCTTGTCTTTCCTTTCCTCTCCTCTCATTTCCTTTCTTTATTTCCTTTCATTTCCTTCTCTCCTTCCCTTCTTTTCTATACTTTCCTCTCATCCTCTCAATAATTCCTTTCCTTGCCTTGCCTTCTTTCCTCTCCTCTCCTCTCCTCTCCTCTCCTCTCCTCTCCTCTCCTTTCCTTTCCTTTCCTTTCCTTTCTTTACTTTCCTGTCTATCCTTCCCTTTCCTTCTTTCCTTTTAATTCTTTCTTGTCCTTTTCATACTTTCTTTTCCTTCCCTTTCCTTCTTTCCTTTCATTTCCTTTCCTTCTTTCCTTTCCTCTCCTCTCCTCTCCTCTCCTCTCCTCTCCTTTCCTTCTTTCCTTTCCTTTCCATCCTTTCTATCCTTTCCTTTCTTTCTTTACTTTCCTTTCATTCTTTCTTTTCCTTTCCTTTCCTTTCCTTTCCTTTCCTTTCCTTTCCTTCCCTCTCCTTTCATTCTTTCCTTTCCTTTCCTTTCCTTTCCTTTCCTTTCCTTTCCTTTCCTTCCCTCTCCTTTCATTCTTTCCTTTCCTTTCCTTTCCTTTCCTTCCCTCTCCTTTCCTTTCCTTCCCTCTCCTTTCCTTTCCTTTCCTTCCTTCAGTCTGACGAGGATCCTTCCTTTCCTCCGTCTCCTTCCTCCTCCTCCTCCCCTCATCTCCTCTCTGAGGATGATGATGATGAAGAGGAGGAGGAGACTGAAAATCCTCGTTTTGCGAAGCCTAAGCTCGTAGCTCCTCCTCCTCCTCCTGCTGCTGCTGCTCGTCCCAGGTGGCAGGTAGGTCTGCTCACCTGTTCCGTCTGCTCCCTGACCGTCACCTGTCTCACCTGTTTAACTCTACTTCCTGCTTCCTGTTCTTCAGCCGTCCATCTACCTGCAGCTGCTGGAGAACCCCAGCTCTGTGCTCCAACAGACCCCTTTCTTTCCTTTATCTAAAAGCTGTGAGAGCAGCTCCAGTCGATCTCCGTCTCCGTCCCAAACCCCGTTAGCTCCGCCCGCCGAGCGCCGCTACCCAGAACGCACCTCTCCCGACCCCGGCGCCGCCCCGAGCGTCGATCGGCCCTCCGATCAGGTGAATTTAAAGCCTCTCCTGTTAGATCTGTGGTGCGTCTTCGCCGTCTGACCGCCGGCTGCTGTTTCCTTCAGAGAAAAGAGAAGCTGTCGTCCAGAGAGTTTTCCAGACGCAGCATAAAGCAGCGAGCCGACCTCCTGTCCACCATGTTCACGGCCTCCAACAAACCCGCCGCCGCTCTCTCGGGGTCGCAGGTTGTTTGTTTACGCCTGGAATGAGCGTTTTCCTGCTTTAATGTCACAACAGATTCTGCAGCATGGTCACGATAACTCGTAGTTTGAGAGCTTCTCATTCGTTTAACACCTTTAAACACATCCAGATAACTGATTTAATCCTCCTGAGAGGTTTATTTGCTGCTTTTCTTGTCAATTTAACTGCATGTGATTGTCTGCCGTCTGTTTTTTCACACCAAAATGGTTCAAGGTGTGTTTGAATCCTCCTAAATGTGCACGTCGCAGGTGGTTTATTTGATACGAGAACTTTATATAAAGCAGCTTTCATACAAAACACGCAGCCCAAAGTTTAAAAGATTAAAACAACACAGCGTTAATTAAATAACCGTCAACACAATAAAATAAATAAATTTATACCAGGTGTAAAAATAGTTAGATTTTTATGTTAAGATTATAGCTTCAGGCTGTAAAATAAATCCAGATTTAAAGCTTTATTTAAAAAGACAGCTATTAAATTTAATATTAAATATATCGAGAGTCATTATTGTTAAAAAAAGATTAGAATAAATTAATTCTAGCTGCACATTAAATCACCGTTATTGTCTTCATGATGGTTTTTTTGCTGATTTAAATTGAGTAACACAAACAGAAATGTCGTAAAAGAACAAATTCATATTATTAAAGATACAGATTTTTAATGTGGAGATTATTTATAGTGTTTTTTACAGTGAACACGTAAATTAATCCCATTTTTGTGTGTTGTGTTTTCACATAACTGGGAATATTTGTAATTTTACAGTGAAATGTTGTTAAAAAACAGATTATTATTAATGAAAATGAATTATAAATAAATATTTACAGGTATAATTTAATTAATTTTTTTGAGTTAACATGTAAATTAATGCCTTAAACAGTAAATTCTTCAGAAAAATGACAGTTAAAGCATTAATTTTCTACAGTATAGAAAGCTTAGTAACGGATATTAATATGTTTGTGAGTTTTGTAATTTAACTGTGAACTCTCCAGGAGTCACTTTGGGATCGTTAACGAGCGCCTCGGTTAATTTCTAGACTTTAATTTGACTTTCATCCTTTTCTTCTGCTCTAACTTCGGTGCTGCTCCTCTTCTGTAGGTGGAACCTTCTACCTCCTCTCCTCCTCCATCTCCTCCTTCATCACCTCCTCCTCCTCCTCCTCCTCCTCTGTCTCAGACCTTCTCCGTGGTCCATCCCGTTCCTGATCCCACCGTCCAGGCTGGTTTCTCCTCTGTTCCTCTGTTCAATCCTGGACTGAAGGACAAGACTCCCTCCACCGCTCCTTCGTCTCACTCTGAGAAACCCAAACAAACCTCCTCTTTTCCTGCTGATTCCTCCACGTCTGATAACAAAACAGCTGCTGTCCGTTCTTTGCCTCGCTTAGATGAGAACCAGAACGTCTCCTCTCTGCTATCGGACTCTAGCGCCGCCTCGTCTTCTCTCGGGGAAAAGTGTGAGAAGTTACGCCAGAGTTCCAGAAACAATCAGGAAAATGAGGTGCAGAAGGTCGACGAACCTGCTCAGGAGACTTTTGAGGGCAAGAAAATAGCTGAAAATGAGGTAACAAGTCCATTATGCATGTCAGCAGCCTGCTAGTCCAGTGCTTTTATTCTGAAACTAACCAGGAAGTCCATTCAGACAGAATTCTGGAAATATGTTGCTGCACCGTCTCTTTGCTTATTTGTTATTTGGGACCTGAAACTAAACTATGTCAAATATTTTGTCTGAATTTTAGGAATTTCTTCTTCTATATTTTTTAAAAATGGAAAAGCAATTTTAAAGGTTCAGTATCTCCAGAAATAAAACTCCTACAGCCATGAGATGTGGTGAGGACCCAGACAGGATAGTTTATATCAGATCAGGATGATTGAATGGATCCAGCAGAGGACACATGTTAAATTATTGGTCCTTAAAAATGGAGAAAAAAGAGCAATATTTTCAAACCAGGCTGGTTTTGATCTCCATAAAGTTCCTGTCAGTGTCTATCTATGGATGGATCCATGGTTCTACTAGAATCCAGTCTCTGGTCACATCTCACCACCTGTTGAGGCTCTAACATCAGTAGAACCTGATGTGGTGAAGTTGGACCAGACAAGGTTCCAGTTTTAGATCCTTAGACTCCAAACTCGTCTTTAATCCTTAATGACTTGAAACTTAAACTTAACAACCTTATCAGGACACTTGTAGCATTCGATTTATGATCATAAACGAGTCTGTGTCTTGTTGTCAGTGAATACAGAATATTTTTTGATTAAAACATTGAAAAAATGTTCAAATTCAAACAAAAATCCTGCACTATTATGCATAATGGAGAAAACTGTGTCAGACATAAAAGCAAAACGACTCCAAAGTCCTCAGAACAAATCTTATTTCATTAACCGAAGTGTTCTTTACAAAATAAATCTTAAATTAACGAGGAACTAGTACCTGCTGGATGGATTTGGCTCATTAATGTCATAGTTTAGTTTTTATTCGTCTAGTTTCTGTAGTTTTTTTTACTAGGCAGCAGTAAAACTTGCAGAAACATCGGCTAGGCGAGGCCTTTTTGTTGTTCACATGACAAACTGAATTATTGTTCTGGTGTTTGTTCAGAACTCAGAGCTCGAGGTCCCCAGAAGAAACGCTCCAAAGTCGGTCGCTCGCTCTGAGAGTTGTCCGACCGGAGCTCCTAGTTACATGAAAGAGGTACTAGCCAACACCTCGGTCCACGTACAGGTCGATGACGTTGAAGTAAATCACACTTCTTCTTCTTTCTAACTCCTGTCTGTGGTTTCAAATCTCTTCTGTTTCTTCTCCTCTTTCCTTCCTCCAACGATCTTCCCCGGCGTTAACGTTAGCGTACAGTCGGAAAAGTGTCCTCAGCCATAGACGCTAAAGCTCAGTTACTGGCCATCCTCTATGAGACCGACCACCGGCCCAGTGCAGCGCCGGTAAGATGCATGTGGACGCTTCCAATCTAACCCACTGGGTGTTTTTTTTGTTGCTTGTGTTGTCCTTTAGGACTTTATGAAGAGGTGATTACTGAACAATCTGATGGTTTAGACTCAACTTTGACAACAGGCTATCTGCCTTTTCAGGCTCTAGTTCCCTGGCCAGGAAGAGCTCACAAGGCCCAATGGGTAAATGAAGGCACAGCAGCTGGTGTGTTTGCAGTAGATGGTTTCACACCTGGTTGTATTTGCATAGTAGCAGCTTGTATGGACGTGCAAACAATTCATGCTAACTTCAAGTCGCTGCTCGGCCTCAAACTGGTGCTAATAGATGCTAATGATTAGTTCGATGCTCACCGAACCCTGCGCTGGTAGAGGTGTGGAACTCAAGTGGCATGAGTCTAACTGAAGTCAGGATGGATTTAATTGAGACTTGACAGTGGATCTTGATCAGATACCCTGTAAGAATCAGGATCTTCTTTTTCGACAAACTGTGAATTGCTTAGAAACAGAATCTCTGGTTGTTCCTTGTTGGATCTTAGAATTAACGTTCTCTGTGATAGGTACAACGACTATGAATAGTCTACATTGGGAATTAGCTCCTGATCCGATCCTCCGCCCTACGTACAGGCATGACATACAAAACATTATTCCACCAAATAAAACCTTTAAGTAAACACGTATAATCAGAATTAGGGGACGTTACCAACATTGTTGATCATTTAATTTAACAGATTTTAAATATACTAACCGATACGACACATACAGAAGGTCATGCATGTCAGTAAGTGTATCATAGATCAGCTGTAGTACCTGGTTGTTCCACCAGGGGGAGCCTCGTACTGTCTGCATTTTAGCAACCAGTAATCATAACATTTTAAACACTCCTGCACACTGTCAAACTTTCAGAAACATCTGTCTTAAGGACATTTTAGTGCTAGACCTTCATCAGACCTAAAGATCTTCAAGAGGGAGCGGCTCCACAACCAATGAACTCACCCCACATAGAGGCATGAAATATAACGCATCATTCCATCACGTAACGTTCAATCATACACAAGCAATAAGAATTGGGAATGGTAATAATTAATTGTTGGTCATTTGATTTACCGATAAGGTCATGTGTCCAGTCATGCATGTCAGTAGATGTTTCGTAGATCAGCTGTAGTACCTGGTTGTTCCACCAGGTGGAGCCTCTCACTGTTTACTCCTGTAGAGACCAGAGGAGGCGTCACTCAGACCACACTTCATGATGGCAGCAGAGAGCATTGTGGGAGTTTAGCAGCAACGGGACCATGACAGAGACTCTGAGGAGGTTGATGACCTCGGATTAGAGTTTATTTGTTTGAAACAAGCTACGATGATGTGTTTGTGTGTCTCAGAGGCATATTTACCAGAGCTGACCCAGATTAAGTCTCCACTGTGCTCACTTTGTGTTTTCGATTAATGCTTAAGTAATTGTTTATGCTGCTGGTTATTAATTCAGAAAGTATGCATCCCTAGCATCCTGCCACAAATTGTCTCTCCTTCCGTCCGACATCTACGTGACAGCGGATGTAAACAAAGACTCTGACTTGGGTCAATACCCATCATCAGGATCAGGGCAACAACTGGTTTACATCCCTTTGTACTTTAATCTGACTTGCAAGTTTTGTTTTGAGTGTTTTGTTTTGTTTTTTTCTTCAGGCATCTCCTGGAAGCGAACGTCCGTAAACACAGAGTCTAAGCTTCTTCTAACCCCCTCCTGGTCGTTTCTTCTCTTTAGTGTGTGGTACGTAAGGACTTCCCTCCGGGCCTCGGCGGCAGCGACATCTGCCACTTCTGCACCAAGCGGGTTTACGTGATGGAGAGACTCAGCGCCGAAGGTTTTTTCTTCCACCGCGAGTGCTTCCGATGCGACGTCTGTAACTGCACCCTCCGACTGGGCGGACACACCTTCGACTCGCAGGAGGGTGCGTTTGATTCGCTGTTACTGTGGACGCTTTGACCTCGCGTGGAGGTGTCTCTGAAACCTGCACTTTGTTCAGTGATAGACTCACAAAATATTCAAACAAGGGTGGTATTGATCCCCAGGAAGTTCCTGTCAGTGTCTATCTATGGATGGATCCATGGTTCTACTAGAATCCAGTCTCTGGTCACATTTCACCACCTGTTGAGGCTCTAGCATCAGTAGAACCTGATGTGGTAACGCTGGACCAGACAAGGTTCTGGTTTTTAGATGTTTATACTTGAAGCCAGTTTAAAATGACTCAAAATTGTCCAAAATAACTCGGAAACAACCCAAAACATGTCTAAAGAAATTCAAAATTCTCCAAAAATGATTCAAAAACATCCAAAATGACTTAAAAATGATCCAAAGATGACTCACAATGATATAAAATGAGTCTACAATGACTTGTAATTGTCTAAAATCTGCCCAAAACTACTCAAAATGGTCCAAATTCACAATAATAGATCATAGTTGGTCCTTGGGAAAGAAAAAAAACTGGTGTTGATCTCCATAAAGTTCCTGTCAGTGTCTATCTATGGATGGATCCATGGTTCTACTAGAATCCAGTCTCTGGTCACATCTCACCACCTGTTGAGGCTCTAACATCAGCAGAACCTGATGTGGTGAAGTTGGACCAGACAAGGTTCCAGTTTTTAGATATTTTGACTAAATGTTAGATCATTGGTAGGAGACAAAAGTTGGTGTTCATAGGGGTCTGGGTTTCTGTGATATATGCAGACTTACAGGCTGCTTCCATGTTGTCATACGTAGAATCTGAGACGTAGTCATTAAAGTTAACCAACATAAAATATGCAAACCCAAAGGTTGAAGAAGAAGAAGGTCATACATGTGAGAGAGTGAGAGATTAATATCAAAGTATAACTTTAAAGTCTCACAAATATCCTTTTAGGAAGGTTTTTGTTTGTTTTGAACAAAGCTAAGTGAGATTTTTTTGTGCTTCCTTTACAGCCAAATTCTACTGCAAGATGCATTACGCCCAGCGCCAGTCCAGCACTCACCTGAGCAGGTTCAGAAGGAGAACGGTGAGAAACGCTGCTGCAAGAACACGCTAGTGCCTCTGCTTCCTCTTTCAATTGCTTTCTTGTTTTAGAGTTTTAGAGTTTCTTTTTTCTTTTTTTTTTGCTCGACAAATATTCAAAATTAGCAAATCATGATTCAAGACTTGAAGGAAAAAGTACGTTTCTCTGGTGAATGATCAGAACCAGAACCACATCCAGGGTACCAATGATTGTTTCTATGACTCTACATCATAGACAGTAAACTGCTGCAGTCTGACTCTTCACACTGTGAGACATCCCATAATACTGATGCTCAAAGTTGGTTAGAAAGGGGAAAAAAAATTGTGAGGCTCAGAAATGATGGAAAAAGTCCTTTAAAAAGTCATAAATCTGGACCCTCCTCTATGGACTTCAAGGTTGTGGAACTCTGAAATAATGGCAGTCTGAAGGTAGAACTGTGCTTCATTAAATAAAGTTAGTGTAGATAAAGAATCAGATGTTCTGAGGAGGTCAGGAGGGAACTCTTCTTCGGTTTGGTTGATTTTATACAGAATGACTCTTTATTGTTTTCCTCTTTTTGTGTCTTGATTCGTGCAGGAGGACCAAAGTCGTGTCGCAGCGTCGTCATTGGACAGCGGGAGCTTCTCGGCCGCCGCCGGCGTCCAGACCCAGCCCTCAGGTACCCTGGTTTCCTTGCTTAGGCGAGGCCTGAGCTGGCCGAGGCGGGCCAGTCGGGCTGTTTGTGTGCTGCCTCGGCGGCTGTTGGGAAATGTTTGTGATTCTGTGGCAGCCGTTCGATCCCACGTCAGGAGCTACTCGCAGGACTATGTGTTCCTGTACGAGCTGCTGAGCCTGGGCTGCCCTCTGCTCTGCATGATGCATGAGGTGCTGGGACAGATCTACCAGGAGCCCCAGCTGGCACAGCGGCAGCTCGGCGGCCACTATAACGGGGGGCTCGTGGCCTGATAGGAGCCACAAGGATTTATCCTCCTGTTCACCCCAAAAAGTGTCCGTAAACAGTCATGGTTTGACACCAAACGACAGCTGTACTTCTTACATACCAGGTGTTATTTCAGTTGTAGGTTTTTGAAGCCATAACGCAGCTTGAGTAGTTGCTATACTTGATTCCACTGCTTGTGTTTAGTGCCTTCATTTTCAGAACATAAATCACACTTACGCACACTGTCCTTTGGGTTTATTGTGTATCTAGCCCGTGTGCGTACCTGGTTCTGTTGGTAGCTCAGATCTCCTGGTACGTGTTTGTTGACAATCAGACGTTCTTGGTGCATCTCTGACTCACATGGGCTTGTTCCAGGCTGCTAAAGGTTGACGTCGCACAGCTGCCACCAGATGAAATCTTTACATTTAAATCAGTCCAAACTCCACTAATCTTGGCTCAAAACAACCCACGAGGCTGCCCGTAAATGTCCAAACACCCCGTTCTACACTCAAACAACCTGTTTTGTTCATGTGCCAAGAACTTTTAACGAGCCCATATTCTGCTTCTGAGGTTCCTCCTTTCTGTCTATAAATTAAATATCTGCTTTGTGTGCTTGTAAAAGGTCTTCAGACGTACATAAGCCCAAAGTCCGAGCTTCATGTATTTATTCTCGAACATAAAAAACGGTTCTTCGCTTTGATTAGGATTTGTATCGTGCAGTAATTCACCCCGTTTTGTTTTGGTGAATTCAACATTTTAAAGACAGCTCATGCCTCCCTGCATGTAAATGTTCCACCCATCACTATTTTGCCGGGGCACCGTCCCTGCGTCCTGGGCTTGGCTTTGTCCAATATAATTGCAATATACCGAAAGAAATGTAGAAACAAGCCAGAGTACTTTTTGGAGTGTGTAATTAATCGTTCTAATTTTAGCTTACACTTCAACAGTATTAAGATAACGTGTAACTTCCTGTCTGTAAAAGTGTCTTTTAAATCGACATGCGTGTTTAATGGCACAGTTCAACCGGGAAGACAGAAGATGGCGGTCACGCATGTCAGGAAATGTACCATAGACCAGCTGTAGTACCTGGTTGTTCCACCAGGTGGAGCCTCTCACTGTTTAATCCTATCGAGACCAGAGGAGGCGTCACTCAGACTACAGTTCACGTTGGCAGCAGAGAGCATTGTGGGAGTTTAGCTAGCGACAGAGCTCTATATGCCAGTTAATGACCTCCGACCAGAGCTCATGTGAACAATGTGAGCTTTTATTGACTAGAACGGCTCTCCCATGTCTGAGTAGCAAGAAAAATCAACTTGCTTTAGCCGGGAGAGTCGCATGTCTGCAATTAAAAATAGCTCAATCTGCATATTGCTTGACAGCGTTGTTGACTATGAAGCGGGTCTTAAAGAGACAGGAGCTAAACATAGATATTTTATTCTTAAAGCATGTTAGCATGTCCTGGTAAGATAATCGTCTGAACCTGTAACTGTGCAGAATATGGGCTCTTGAGTGGCAGCAGTGACCTGGAACAAGCCGTCTGAATCTAACCTTGACAACTGGACTGTGTGGTTCCGACACGACTCACTGCTTATTGCCTGCTGCACCTTAACTCTGCACCACAGAGGTGTGCAATGGAAATGCCAAAACAGTATTTTGTTTTTTCTATAATATAATTTTAAGAAATACTAGTATTTACAACTTTTCCATTTGTTGTATTTTGTTTAAAAAATTAACTTATGTCACTTGATATATTCAGGGTACTTTACTGATGTTTTTTATTTTACATGATAAACCTGGCGATTTATTTACAGTATTTAACATTTGTGGGTGAAAATCCAATTATAATAAGCTGAACTGCAAGAATGAAACGCATTTTCTTTTCTTTCTTCGTACTGAGAAACAAAATTGGCTTTACAATTGCATTTTGAACAATCTTGAACTTTTTAAACTTTTGTTTTTGTGTGTAAAATCGGTACAAACCAGCCGACTGGTCTTTATCTTTTGTTTCACACATGGACTCAAACAAATCCAAAAACTCGATGTTCATCTTGACTCAGTGAAAATATCGTTCACTTTGGTCGTTTGTTTTACTTTGAAGAATTGTGGTGCTTTTATTTGTGATTATTTTTTTTGTTGCATCCTGCATTGTAAACGATGCCTGAGCTGAATTCAGTTCTGATTGTTCGGTTTACTTTTGTACTTATTGTAATGACTTTAACGGCTACAGCTCTCCTTCTTGTAATTCTCAGCACTCTGTATATCTTCTTTCCATCTTCCATCTTCCATTTTTTCCCCACATCTTATCCATTTTTTTCCTCCCTGAATTCATTCTTCTCCGTCTCGTTCACTTCATTCCGTTCAGTCTGTTACCAGTTTCCAATGCTGCACCCTCTGATTGGCTGATTCCTGCCAGCGGGGAAGGTGACGATTGGCCGGCTTTGGCCATAAGGTCTTGTTGCTTTTGCATTAGCTTTCTTTGTAGCTCCGCCCTCTTTCCATTTAACCCAGATTAACCAATCACAAACCAGCATGAGTTGGACAAGGTGTTATGTGTAGCGCTGTCATACATTCAATACCAAATACCAAACACTCAATAAATAGAACAACCACCAGCGCTGGTGCAGCTTCAAGGATTAAGCTGCAATTGTGAACAAATTTAAGGAAAAGACTAAAACCAGCAATGTTTACATCTTTTCTGTTCGTGTGCTTAAACCTAGTTTTCTTATTAGCCATGCTAGCTGGCTTAGTGGTGTTGGTTGGTCAGTGAGTTGGACGATCCATCCACAGCTTTGGATAAATAGCCATGAGGTTTTGCCCCGACTATGATTTTACCAAGAAGTGTGAAGAGGGTAGGATGGTTTCACAAACTTCGAAAGAAGGTGACAACCTGTATTTAGAAAGCTTATTGTAAACCAGCTGTAGTACCTGGTTGTTCCACCAGGTGGAGCCTCTCACTGTTTAATCCTGTAGAGACCAGAGGAGGTGTCACTCAGGCTACAGTTCATGTTGGCAGTACAGAGCATTGTGGGAGTTTAGCTAGCTACTGTCAGTGTGTTTTGGACAAGTCGTTATAGACAAAAGTTTAGTCATTTTCAAGACTTTTCTTCTGGGACAATTCAATTCTGAGAAAATATGAACAAGTTTTGAGGATTTTAGACCAATTTTGAGTCATTCTGGACATGCGTCACGATGTTTCGTCAAGTTGTTGAGTTTAGCTGCAGTACCTGGTTGTTCCACCAGATGGAGTCTCTCACTGTTTAATCCTGTAGACACCAGAGGAGGCGTCACTCAGACTACCGTTCATGGTAGCAGCAGAGAGCATTGTGGGAGTTTAGCAGCAACGGGACCATGAGTTCTGTGATGCCTAATGTCCTCCGACCAGAGCTAACAAACTGGGATTGACCAGCACAGTATTCCTATATCTTCGTGTCGTTTGTACTCGAGCCAACTGTTAGGCCGAAATAATGTGCAGCAACATCAGCACATGACGACTATCCGTGGTGCTCAATAATCAGTAACGCTGCTGAAAAAAATATTCTGAATCTGCAGCCACAAACCGTGATTTCCGTTCGTCACACCTGAGTTACGGTGGATGGAGGTGGTCACTCAGGTTAAGGGTGGAAGGTGAGTTTAGCTAGTCGCTGGCATCACGACAAAGACCTCTGTGCCGAATAATGTCTTTCGGCCAGAGCTGGTGAATATTATATAAAGCCTTCTGTCGTACCGCGACTCTTCCTCTCTGGCACCTATGTGGCGGCGGATGCTAGCAGAGGACTTAAGTTGCTGGAAACATCACCTCAGGACGTCTTAAGCTTAAGGCCACAAGATCCTGGCCGGACACGGTATAGATTTAGCTGTTGGAAACTTCCGGTAATGATGCTCACATAGCACCTTTTGTAATTATCCTATTGGTTTGTCGTCATCGCCGTGCTAACTCCTCTAACGCTCATGTTTTGCTGTGCTTGTCCTCATCCTCCCTAACATCCACCTGAATGCCCCCTGAATTTATTTTGTGCCTCAGCAGCAGCCTTCCCTTTCCTGAGGCCGGTGTATCGGTAACGTGTCTGTCCACCTGTCTGTGGTTCCCTCTGTTTCAGAAGGATGCCTCCCTCCTTCAGAGCCCCTCTCCAGATCTCTGTCATGTAGCTCCTAGTCTTTGCTCAGGAGATCAGCAGCCTGATCGCAGCTCTTTGCACATTGCCAGATTCACTTTGTCGGCTGTACTGTCTGTGTTTTGTAGCTGCGTTTAGAGTACGTCTAAACGCAGCCTGCCAGCCTTGTTATTTGTTCATAATTACTGTAAAATTGCTTAATTTATGATATTTATAAGCTGTAAATATATAAAAAAATAAAATAAATCGATTTGGTTACATAAATTATTGGGCGTCGTCGTTTGTTGCCGATTGTTTTAATAATTAGTCGAACGATAATCTCACAATTTAGCGGGTAAATTTCAAAACGCTTCCACGTCTTTTAACAACGTTAATTAACAACCTGGTCTACGGCGAGTCCCTTTTCCCTCCACCTCTGTGCTACGTCGACCTAACATCACCCACATCAATCACCATCACAGCTTCCCTTAACTCAACGATTAACACGAGCTCTGTAACGTCTGGTGAGAAGCTGGACGAGCTGTCAGCGTGCAGCCACCTTTAACTCAAATGCTGCCACGATTACAAAGAATAATAATAACGGCGAAAAAGGGAAGAACAAGCTTCATGCAAAAGCTGTAACTGAATAGTGTTCGGCTACAAAGAACCTGAACAGAACTGAAGTGAATCTCAGCTTCCTCGTGGGTTCTTCCAGTGGGTCTTCTCTGTCCTTTCCTTTGGGTTTGTGGGTGTTAATTTCTTCTTTTGCTTTCATTCGATGCAACTGCTATGGTCCGTCCAAAACGTGGATAGCACAAGTAAAGTCTGGCTCCGTAGCAGTCAAGAAGCACGACGGTTGTAACGAGATGTTTTTCATTTCTTTGCTGTGACCAAGTGGAATCACCTTTGGAAAGATTCTGTACATTGTTGACTTCGTTTCTCTGTGAGTACTCCAGATTGTACGTGTTTTGTTGGTGCTTGTACGTTAACGGAGGTCAGTGTGATGCTGTCAAGTTAGAGCAAGCGGAGTGAAATGCTTTTAAATTCGGTGTACAAATGTCTAAACTGCATGTGTCGCTCTAAGAAGCACAAATGTTTATTTGTTGTACAGTATTGTATAAATGTGTAGATTCTCAGTCGTACAGGTCGTGGTAATCATAGGTGCTTCAGTAGGACGCAACTCAAGTTCTTCTTTGGTTCTTGAAGATGTATCACATCTCATCCAAAAGGCTTTTTCAGCTCTGACTGACTGGTAGGGAGCTCTGGGTTAATAACCCTCAAGGTGCTAATGGTGCTGAAACCGCCTGATGAGGGAGGATTCAAAGTGGTGATGGTGGTGAAACCGCCTGAGGAGGGAGGATTCAAAGTGGTGATGGTGGTGAAACCGCCTGAGGAGGGAGGATTCAGAGTGGTGATGGTGGTGAAACCGCTGGGGGAGTGATGACGTAAGGTTTGAGTGATTATCAAACTGCCTGGAGAGGAGTGACTAAAAACATGACTGGTTGTGAAACTCACTACGACAGGAGGACTCAAAGTTATTTACATAATAAACAAATAAATCTACTTACGTAATTTAAATATTATGGTCGAGACCCTAAAGTACTATATATAATACTAATTCACCTGCCCAGGTTATATGTTAGGAAACTACAAGGTGTAAACGGTGCTGAAACTGCCATTGGAGGGGTGACTCGAGATGTTGTTGGTGGTTAAACTGTAGACGGAGGCATTATTTAGGGTATAAATGGTGGTGAAACTGCCTGGAGAGGGGTGACTGACAGTCTGTTCAACTCAAGTTATTCTCACATAGCACAGCAGCTGTTAAGCCAAAGCGCTTTCCAGTAGAGAAAAAAGCTTTATCGTGCAACTTTACCTGACAAGTTTAAATATAAAGGTTACGTAGATTATACTTTTACCTCATGTAATATTAAATGTGACATTTAAAAACCTACATTATTATATATAATACGAATTTACCTGACTAGCTTACATGCTAGAGTTAAGAACCTACAATGAAATGGTGGTGAAACTGCCTGGGGAGGGATGACTCAGGGTGTTAATTGTAGTTAAACTGCCCATGGAGGGATGACTGAGGGTATTAATTGTGGTGAAACTGCCTGGGGAGGGGTGAGTCAGGGTATTAATGGGGGTTAAACTGTAGATGGAGGCATTATTTAGGGTATAAATGGTGGTGAAACTGCCTGGGGATGGATGACTCGGGGTGTTATTGGTGGTAAAACTGTTCATGGAGGGATGACTCAGGGGATTAATTGTGGTGAAACTGCCTGGGGAGGGGTGAGTCAGGGTATTAATGGGGGTTAAACTGCCCATGGAGGGATGACTCGGAGTGTTATTGGTGGTAAAACTGTCCATGGAGGGGTGACTCAGGGTATTAATGGGGGTTAAACTGTAGATGGAGGCATTATTTAGGGTATAAATGGTGGTGAAACTGCCTGGGGAGGTATCTCAGGACTTCAGAGTTTCCTGTAACACTTTAATGTGGATGACTTCCTTAGGTCCTCTCAAACGGTCTTTGTCCAGAATGTGGTTGTGACTTTCCTCAGAGGAATGTGTCCTGTCCTTAGTGGTCCAGTCCCTCCTATGTATAGGTCTGTACAGTCCTCTGTGCACTGGACTGAACCTCCTCACCAGCCAGTTAGAACTGAAGAAACCTCTGGAAGAAGCTGAAATATCTTCAGGAACCAAAAGTCCAGTTTCCTTCTACTGAAGCTCCAAGGATGTATAGGATATATATATGTGTGTGTGTGTGTCCCGTAATTTAGAATCTACAACACTGGTAGTTCAGTTATTGTAGATCAACTGTCAACCTGTTGTGTTGGAGTCCTGTTTGAGATGCAGGATGCATGAAACGTGCTCGTTAATGTTACCGCAGCACAGATTAGCATTAGCCACGCTCCAGTTAAACTTTAATGCCTTCACGCTGTTTGTATTTGCAGGAGGGGCGTCCAGCCTGCACCCGGAGCAGCTTGATAAAGGTCAGAGCAGAGTTCCTGAGGATGCAGAGATGGCTGAGGAAGCCCTCGATGCTCCTTCTCTAACAAAACCAGCAGCACAGGACGGCGCCGGGCCGAAGGCTCAGAACCAGGACGGTACCAAAGGTCAGACTCCTGAAGTTCTGAACACGGTCTGACTTCCAGAGTTATTCTCAGAGCGGCTCAAATGAGTTTTCAGTTCCTGTTATTGCTTGAAAACACGATATTCCCTGAGGGAGGATCCTAAACTGGCTGAACTTTAACCAGCGGCCGTTTGTTTGTGTTGGAGTTCCTCCCCCGGTGATGTGGGGGAGTCGAGGGTGAGGCCGACATGTTGGAGCTGCTCTCCCACACTTAGCTCAGCTCTTGTTGTCCAACAGTCGCTACACACACTTTTCTGCACAAGCTGGAATAACTCAACAGGCTTTTTATCTTCAGCTTTTATTTACTCTAAAAAAAACATGAATATGAATGTTGGTCTCTGAGAGCCTTTGAATCTGGTGTGAAAAACATGATGACGTCCATTTATAGTTGAAACCAGAAGTTTGACATCAAATCAGACTAAACGTTTCCTGTTTCAGCTCAGTCAGGATCACCAACATTATTTCTATTTGCTAAACGTCAGAACAATGAGACAGAGAATGTTTCATGACTTTCTTCAAGGTCAGAAGTCTACATCCACTAAGAGGTCTTCAGACTATGTGGTAAAGCCCAGATGATGATGTCATGGCTTTGGAGGTTTCTGATTGGTTGACTGACAACATGTGAGTTAGTTGGAGGCGCACCTCAAACACTCTGCTGCCTTTGGTGACAACATGGAACATCTACAGAATAAGAGAACTGTGGACCTCCACCAGTCTGGT